TGTTAGAATGTTGAATTCCTGGAGGACAGAGATCTAGGTCTTGAAAGAGAATATGGCATTGTGTATCAGGACTTTTGATCAATGTGAAGAAATAGACTTTAAAATCCCCATCCTCAAATAAGAAAATGTTTCTTTCACCTATCCTATTTCCTCTTGAAGTCAATGTCAAGCAGGATTCATTTATAGTCATTAAAGAATGCGACCATCTATCTCTTTTCAGAACTTGTAACTTTAACAATTCAGGAAAGAAGTAGCAATGCTTGGGGAAATGTGTTCTTGGCTTTGCCATGCTCTAAACATTTGCATAATAGTGAGGGGTGCAGGCATTTTTGAAAAGAAATGGCATTCACCCATCCAGAGAGTGAACAGCTGAGTAGAAAATGCTAATTCTGAGACCTGGTGCCTGAGAGACATTGAAATTCACAGTGGGAAGAGTGGCCAGCAGGTGCATGCCCCTCTGTTAAGCCCTAGGAAAAGAACTGGGGAACAGGAAGCCCTCGTAGGTTTCGAACTCTAAGACATAACTACTCGATTTGCTTTTGACAAAGTGCAATCTAATTGTAATCCGATGACCTCAAAGGGGACTCTTCAATGATTAAATTCAAGAGTCAAGAACCATGTACCTACTTTTTCCTTTTGATTTCCAAACCATAAAACTTAATGAGGTATATTCAAGGCCTTATGGAGGATTGGAGTTACCAAAAAAAAAAAACACCTTAAAAATAAAGAAAAAAAGCCCAGATGGTCTGATTCAGATTTTTTAAAGTTGGCTCCAGTCTGCATTGCCGAGGCCCCAGCCATTATTATTTAATCTCTCATTGACAAGGGGAAGCTTCCCTGCAGACTGGGATTTGGGACTTGTTATCTCCATTTTAGTGGCCTCTTTGCCAAGAATAGCAGGGCCGATAAAACACAGACTTCAGTCAGCAGGGAAAGAGGAATGGACACTGAGGCCCTAGGGACAGCAGAGAGCAGCTGCTCACATTCCCAATGGAGGCAGGGGAGGTTGCTTATGTAGTAGTCTGCAGTGAAACAAATGAAAGGAAAGAAGTGGTGTGGTGTGGTGCAGGAGAAAGAAGGTAAGAACGAAAAGAGAGAGTGAGAAAGGGAAAGCTAGAGAGACAAAGAAAAGGAAGGAATGAGGCAGTGGGGGAAGGGAAAGAAAGTCTAAGGAAGGAAGGAGAGGAAAAGGAGGAGGGGAGGGAAAGAAAGATAATTTTACAAATAGAGCATAATTCTTTCTATTTCAGGGTTTTGAGCTGCCTTTCTCAAAAAGCAAAAGTTTCAAGCAACATTGGGAGACAATTCTTTCTCACTTTTCCCTGTGATGTTTACGAAGGAAATTGGAGGAGTTTCCTGTTACCTTTAGAATAAAGTACAAAATCTCAATGAGATTTATGAGTTTCTGTAAAATTTATTGCTAGCCAATATCCTCAGACCAGTGGCATACCTGCAGTACATACCACGCCTGTGTGAACCCCAACCTCTAAAATTCCATTAGTTTCTCAAATGAAATCGGCCCATTGTCACCTGTCTGTTTTATTCAGAAGTTTTCTCTGCCCCAAACTTAGCCTTCTTTTTTTTGCCAATGTGACTGACAAGCATTCAGCCTCAGGTTGTGGGTTGCTTCTGAACGACTGAAGAGGGAAGGTAGGCAGCAGACACTCTGGCCTTCTTCTGAAAATGTCTACAGATACAAGCCTTATCTTTGGATGTGAAGAGCATGATTCGGGAGCCAGAGAATTAAGGAAAAGGCCAGGAAGTGGTGGTGGGAGGACTGTTTGGGTAGGATGTTTCTGGAACCATCTCGGAAATCCAGAACAATCCGGAACAATCTATGAAATCAAGGCAGGTCCAGAAGGAGAGAACATGACAACCATGCATAGCCATTACTGACTCTGCTCCTACATGCCAACATTCCCCCACTGACCAGAGATGAAATTGTATGACAGCCACTTGTGTGATGGTGACAGAAGGTAGCCATAAAAATTGATTTTCTGTGCTCAACCAGACATTCTACAAGACTATCCCTATTACTCTGTTGGCTGCTTACTCAGTACCCTTTGCACTTTCCCAAGACAGTGAATCAACGATATTCTCCTGGTCAGATGGTTCCCGTGAATCACCCACTGGAGGGTGCACAGTGAGTTCTAATTTGGCTCCTTGCAATCTCTAAGAGATGTCCCTTAAGCCCTCAAACACCTGGAACCATCTATCTAGTAGAAACTTCGAATGTATATTCAACCTTATCTCACAATCTCACTGGATTTCTCTACAATGCTCACTCTTCATTCTCATCAAAGATTATCTTATATCTCTCTCTTTTTTTTTTAACCTTTTTTTTAGCCTTACCACTTTCAGCTTATAATATTTCCTATATTTTATTGATTAAATCAGGAGCTATCAGACTGTAATTTCTATGTGTTCCCATGTCCAACTTCCTTAACCTACCTATAGAAATATCCTTTTTCTCGTTTTTTCCTACTGACTCGGGTGATTAAGCATCGTTCCTTTATCAAAGGGACTCTCCACATTGTGTTCTGCATCACAAATCCCATCACCTTCCCCAGGGCTTTGATTTCTCTCCTACATCATCACCTTCTCTGTTTCAGTCAAATTGTTCACATTTGCATATAAACATAATGGCTCTTACATCTCAAAATAAAAATAAAAGAAAATAAAATCAGCCTCCCATGACTTTATAGTTTTCTGTCAGCTATAGTACAATTTCTTTGCTTTCCTTCTCAGCCAAACCTGTGAACAGAATTGTCTGACACACTGTCTCTACTTCTTTAGCTCTTTTTCATTTTCTAATCCACTCCAGTTTGACTTCTCTCCCATCATTTCACTGAAACTGCTCCTCACTGCAGCAGCACTGAGCACAGCTCCCATTCTCCTATCTTTTCTATTCTCACCTGTAAGTTACCATCCTCCCTATATTTCTTCCTCCTCCCTGACTGCTCCTTCTCAGTCTTTTTTCAGGTTCATCCTCCTCTCCCTGATAGCTGAATGCTGGAGTTCTTTTGGGGCTCCCCTGCCGCCACCCCACTTCTCTATTTTTTTCCAGATCCCCTTCCATTATTCTCACATTTACTGGGCATTTATATATTGATACTTCCCAAATTTATATCCTCAGTATGGGACTTCTCTGACCCATATATTCAACTGTGTACTCAAAGTGCTCGAAACAGAATTCTTGATTTTATCCCCAAATCTGTTCTTCCCTCACTCAGTCTTTCCCATCTCAGTAAATGGCACCACTATCCACACATTTTCTTAAGCCAGAAACTTTAGAGTGTGGCATTCCATATCCCACCCACACCAAATCTATTACATGTCTGCTCTATCAACCAGCCCTGGCCTTTCTACCACCAAACTGTATGACAAATCCCTTGAACTCTGCTCATTCCCTCAACCCACATCCTTATCCTAGACACCATCACTTCTCCCCAAGGTACTGTAAGAATCATCTCACGGGTCTTTCAATTTCTTTGCTGTACTCCAAATCCACCCTTCTCCACACAGCATCAAAGTCACCTTTTTTCATAGTGATTGTATTATGTCACTCCCCAGATCAGGTTTCAATAATGTCTCATTTCACTTTGAGTAAAAGGCAAATCCCCCGCTAGGGCCCACACTGCCTTTCTTGTTGTCTCAGTAGCATTTCATGCACCATCCACTTTCTTACAGTGCTTCATCCATTAAGCCCTCCTTCCAGTTTCCCAAACACTCAAATTTCTTCCCTAAGATCTCCACATCTGCCAGTCTCTCAACCAGATGTTCTCTGTCTGGTTACCTCTTCTCATCATCAGCTTTAATTATCACCTCCTTGGAGGCCTTCCTTCTTCCCCTTTTCCGGCTTATTTTTATTGTTTACCTTTTTTTTTCCTTTTTGCATTCATTCTTCGGTTAGTTTTTTTAATTGGTTTCCTTTTTTTATTTTTTTAACAAACCTATGAGTAACACACTACATGAAAAAAATTAAAGCACAGAGACTTGCAATAACTTATTTGAGGACAATATAGTTTATAAACAAAGGCTGTAGGATTCAAAATTAGACAGTATAACTCCAGAACAAAAATCTTAACCACTACAGTGTATCATGTTTCCTCCTATTGCCCACACTTTATAACGTGTAATTACATATTCATTCATTTGCCATATTTATTCCTATAACTAAACTCTATAAGGGCCTACTATGTTTCAGGACCTGTCCTAGGTATAAAAGGCAAGATCTCCCACCTTGTGGGACTTGTGTCCAAGTGGAGATGACTGACAGAAGAGAAGCCAAGGCAACAAATCTGCATACAAGGCCAGGAACATGCCTCAGCCCCATGTGCCTGCTATATCATACCTGGTACATGATAGGTGTTTAATGATGTTTTTTGATAAAAAATGTGTTCTGAAGAATTTCTTGTCTGATTTAACAGCAGGAAGAGTATATTAGTTTCCTGTGTCTGCCCTAATAAATTACCACAAGGTAAGTGACTTAAAACAGAACTGTATTCTGTCAAAGTTCTGGAGGCATGAAACCCAATGTCAAGGTGTCAGTCACATGGCTGCAGTTCCTCCAGAGGCACTAAGGAAGAATCCAGTCCCTGCCTCTTCCAGCTTTTGGTGACTATCTGCATTCTTTGGATTGTGACCACATCTCTCCTTGCTCCTTCTTCACATCACCTTCTCCTCTGTGTGTCTGTTTTATCTTCTTTCCCCTTTTTCTTAGAAGGACACTTTTGATGTCATTATGGTAATTCAGGTAAAATTTTCATCGCAATACCTTAACTTATTTATATTTTTTTTGTCATATAAGGTATTATTCACAGGGTCTGGGGGTGAGGATATGGATACAACCTTTTTGGGGCAACCATTCAGCCCAGAAGAAAGTGTAGGTCCATCTGCCCTTATAAAGGATTATCACTCAGTAAGGGACAACATCTCTGTTTTCTCAATGGTCTGTGTTGTTAGCAATAAGTACAGATCTTACCAAAATCCAGATTTACCTTTGAAGCTGTTGGAGAAGTGGCTCTTAAATGCCAATGTATTTAAGAATCATTTAGGAACTCATTTAAAGTCTTGATCGGTGGACTTATCAGCCGTAGATTCAAACTCCATAGTTGGTTGTTTGGTGTCGGATACCTACATTATAATGAACACGCAGATGACTCTGATCCAAGTGACAGAGGACCACCCTGCATGGATAGTGCACAAAAGAAAAATTTAAGATAGAATCAGATAGAGATTTATAGAAATGATGTCAAGTTTTTTGCTCTAAGATCAATAGTTCCTAAATTTTCTAGGTTGTGTTTTGGGAAACAAAGACTAGATACTGAGCAGAATCAGAAACAACTCCCATCTTTCAGGCACCCACAGCACTCTTTCTTTTGGGGACACACTGAAGGCTAGTTCTATATTTTCTAGAGAACAACCAATGAGAATGAATTCTTCTCAACTTACTGTAAGGCATCTCATAGGAACTTTTAAATAAAGATTCACATATAATATAGATGGGCACAGCTTCTAAGAACTATAATGATACATTTTGTGCCAATAGGTCAAAAGAATATTATCTGAAGCATTCAACCAAATAAATTCTTTTATTTGGTTATATAAGTGGACACAGTCTCAAATGCTTTTTGAAGTACCTAACTGTCTTCACGAGATTTACACTGGCCCTCTAAAGCCACGGAAAACATTCTCTTAACAATTTTTCTGGAAATAACAACCTCCTCTTTCCATGAAAATTTAAATGGTGGTATGAGCCTGTCTAACACAAGGCACTTACTTACGGGCCTAGCATCTTTAAGGGGTATTGTGTGCCTACTTTCATAAAGGAAAGATGTGAATTTGAAAAATTAAAACCGTATAAAATGAGGCAATCAGGTTTTTTTTATTTGTTGTTTTTTTATAATTACAGACAAATTAGGGACTAACTAGATTGGAAGAAAAATTTTTCAAGTAGTTAAATCTCCCCAAAGATGTAAGAATTTTATTCAACCTAAAGATTGCTTTCCAAATTGTTCATCTGTTTTTCTAGCCCCTCCAGTGGTGCCATGACTCACAGGCTCCAGTTCAGGTGATCATGAAGAGTCAATAACAAACCACAGTAAATTGGAAGAGCATGTATTTCAGTCACTTCATTGAGCTCAGGTGAAGTTGTGTCTGCAGAGACAGAGATATGTTCCCCTATGTGATAGAGTGAGTCAATGTATTGCGTAGGCTTTTTTGTAAGTATTCCATAACCCAAATTCCTGTATGGAAATTTACATTTACATCCAGCTGGATAAGCAGTTTACTAAATGGTGCTTGAAGAGATCTATTGGTCACCTGCCCTTCTCCCCTGGCAAAGGCATGGAAGAGCTTCCTCCATTTCCCTCCACCACCTCCCCTCAAGAATAGCCCTGCTTATATATGATGACCTTCTGTAAATTATTTCTCTTTTACAATTCTAAATGGGCATTTTGACTTGATTTATTCTGGGTGCAAATATGGCAAGAGACACATAGAATTTACTTTGGCACCAACATATCCCTCTAAGAGTGCATTCACTCATTTACTTAGCAAGTGTTTATGAAGATCTAACATCTGTCAGGCACACAATTGCGTCATGATTTGTTTTCAAATAAATTGTAAGCCAAAGAGATTATTTTCTTGACTGTACATTTATGTATTTATATTTGTATTAATAGATAAGAATTTAAAACCTAGTATTAACTATCAAGTGTATAGATGAAGTATATGTTCACGTAATTATTCAAAAGCTAAATATTAGTGTCTTTAATTAAGACTGTCTGCCTTGACAATCGACATCAGAAAATGAAAATGTGGTTTTATGGTCACTTATGGAAAAAGTCATACTTTTGCATTTTAGTATTCCACCCATAAAACCAAATTAGCAAATGTTGCCATGTGTTAGTAACACTATTTCAGTAAGACCGCAGACGTTAGTTAAACAAATATTTAAATTTCAGCATAGAGGTATAGATCGCTAATTTTTCATGCTGTAGACAGTATGGTATTTGGTGATTAACTGTTCTCTCTCCTTCTCTCTCTCTCTTTCTCCCTTCCTCCCTCCCTCTCTGTCTGTCTGTCTCTCTCTCTCTCTCTCTCTCTCTCTCTCTCTCACACACACACACACACACACACACACGCGCGCGCACATTTGCTTATTATTTTCCCACAGATAACCAGAGGACAGATATTTGCCGTCAAGATAGCTCGGGCCTTCAGTAGCTCAGCAAGGCAGTTTGCGTGATGCCTGTGATTCCATTTGTCACAGGAGCCTTTATGAGGGAACAGAAGATATAACTTTGCCTCATTTTTCATTTCCTGTTATCTCTCAGATTTTAGTCTTCAGCTGCTCTATTTTCCTGTACCTCAACTGGAGCCGACGTTATCAGAGCACCACCTGCTACCACCGCTGCAGCTGAGGCTCTGTCAGCAGTTCCAGAGCAGCTGGGAAGCTCCCCCTGGGCCAGAACAAACCAAGTCCACGGTGAGGTCTACATATGCAGAGCAAAGTGAAGACACTCCACTATTAACTAAATAATTCCAAGGGAGGAACATTCTTGGATTTGCAAAGTGCTTTAAATTTTGCAGAGCACTTTCTCACCTATATTTCACAGGATCTTCAGAGCAGCCTGTGAGACAAGTGGGCCAGTGCAATTATGCCCATTTGCAATCCTGTGGAGGTCACACTTTCTGCATCCCCTGAAGTTAGAAATGCTCAGGGTGCACAACGTAACTCAAGGATAAGTAATGGAGTCAGAGAGTCAATGGTGGGGAACTGAGGCCAGAGATGTACAAGGAAAGGTAAACAGCTGTGGGTTAGCTTTAATATGACTCTCCAAATGAAGAACGCTAAGGAACAGAAGCAGAAAGGGACTGATAATAAGGGAAAGCGAGACAAAACACATCGCCTGATAATTGAGTCATGCATTGTGAGGAAAAAGAGGAAGTTGGTAGTGATGGACTGGCCCACCCTTTTCTTTCCTGATACTTTTTCTTACAGGTGCCTCCTCCAGGCTAGACTCTAACAAATCTGTCATTGGCTTATAGATGCCATTTTCTCTTCCTCTTCTCCTTTGGAAATTACCTTCCCACTGGTCAGAATTGTCTTAACTGCAGGCTCTCATCATCTCCCTAGACCATAATAGCAGGTCTATGTTAACCCAGGAGTGGGAGGGGGTGGTGTGGAGTCTTCTCTCGGCCTTGTCACCTGCATCTCCTGATTCCCCCACCAGTGCCCTCCCCAAAGACACAATCCTGCTCCAGTATCTAGTGATAATTTCAACCTCATTTGATTTTTGGTATGCAGTTGTATGCCTTGGTCTGATTACTGGATCCCCGTCTTCGTTCTATACTCATACCTCTGAATCCTTTACCATCATGGCTCTGGGCAATCTTATAACTTCCAGAAGAGGTGATGTCAACCTCTAGCCCAGGGAGCTGGGGATCTGCTAACTGCTGAGAAATGGCTTCCTGACACTGGCTTCCTGCCAATCTGCTCGGCCACCTAAATTTACATGTCATTTGCTTGTCCTTCTCCAACCTAATGTTTTCTCACTTGTTGGGAGACCTTTCCATTTGTTTTAAATCTCTCTAAAATGGGTATCTTGCTTGGGTTATAACCTATCGTCATGTTCTCTGGGTATCTACTTTGACCTGCTACAGTGGAAAATATGGCAGAATCATCCTCAACAACACTTATTTAATCTAAATGGAACCTGGGAAGCTGATTTCTGATCCTACCTTCTTCTAGTCCTCCTAGTCTTCTAAACATAAATTTCATCAGTGATATGAAGATTAGAGGCCATCACTAGAGTGATTAGAAGATAATTCATATTTCAGTTGTACTTTGAGAGCATGTGCCACAGAATGGATCAGGCCATGAGAGAGAAACAATTTAAACCTATAAAAAGATCCATTAAGGATCCATATTTACTGTGCCTTGAGAAACTACCCCTGCAGGCACAAACGTGTTAAGCCTGGTATAGACTCTGAGATGGAGTTCACTGGGATATTCCTCCATACCCACACTCTCCAGAAGTCTTATTTCAGGTGGGCTGCTATAACAAAAAATTCTATAGACCGGGTAGCTTACAGACAACAGAAATTTATTCCTCACAGTTCTGGAACCTGTGAAGTCCAGGATCAAAGTGTTCTCTAGTGAAGCCCTGCTTCTTGGTTCATAGACAGCTGTCTTTTTGCTGTTCCCTCATGGCAGAAGGGAGGGGTGAGCTCTCTGCAGTCTCTTTTGTAAGGACACTTTTATAAGGGCTCCTTCTTTTGGTGGGGGGACTTAATTCCCTCCCAAAGGCCCCACCTTTAAATATCATCCTATTGGGGTTTAGGATTTCAACATATGAATTTTGGAGGATGTAAGCATTCAATCTACAACACAAGACTTCTTCTTTATGCTCTTAATATTTCCCTTTTTTAAAATGCTCTGGTTCTGCTATCACACACGCTGTCGTCTTATTGTACATGTTAAATGCATGACTAATTGTGGTTTGATGCACTACTAATACTAAAGATATTTGACAACTTGCCATGGAAAGGGCCAAAAGGAATGATTCTTTAATGAAGCATTTTGCAAGATGCTGAAGGCTGTGGATTGGTGATTGAGAGACTATAGGTATGGTGTTGCACCTCTAATAAGGGAAGAGGACAGGAGAGGAAAGATTGAGCAAGGAGGGTCTGCAATGGAACCTTCCACAGAAATGACTATAGCCATTAGAAGCTCTACTCTGCAGTGCCCTTCACCCGATGTCCTCCCAACAGAAGGGTCTCTTGATTTCCAAAGTGTACTATTTATTCCCTCCAATTGCTCCATGCAGATTTACTCTTGAGTTTTTCTTGTAACTTCTGATAAGTTCAGAACTGAACTCTGGTGACTTAGAGCAGTATTTCCCCAAGTGTGAAATGCTACAGATAATTTTAGGTGCTGTACAAGTTTGGCAAATAAAATGGAATCACAGAGTGAGGAAGTTATTCCCTTTTCAATTCTCTTTTGATCCTTCTGATGACACCACAGATAAATTCTCAGTCTGGAATTGTACATCTTTAACACCTCTCTAATGCTTACTTTTCTTCTTTTTATAGCAATGAAAGTACATGTTTGAAGCTTGGAGCCTTTGACAGGTAATAATATGTTCCTAAAAATTAATAATGTTTAGTTACATTGTATTTATTTTTACACTTACTGTCCTCTAATGAAAAATAATATTGGTCATATATCTAAGATAGAAAAATCAAGTTTTCTTTTAAAAATAAGTTTCTAAATTTAAAAGAGAAGGTGGGTTGAAAAAGGATGTAAATAACTGATAGTGCAGGTGGTGATTGGCAATAAGACACAGGAAAGATGTCGATGGTGATATGCAAATGACCCACTAGTAGTAAACACCAGCTTGGGTCACACTCCCAAAATTTCCACTAGGCTGCAGAATTCCTCGCTTTCACCATTCCTCATCTTTTTTTTTTTTTGCTATCCTTTTGTTCAACATAATATTTTAGTTGAAGTGCACCTTGATTGACTTGAAAGCAAGTGGACAACTCTCTAGTGTTCATTCATTTTATGGTGGTGCTACAAGTCTCACTAAAAGCTTAGATATATGCAAAGGAATGAGAAATTTAACAAGGGAAAAACCAGCAACCTTTACCTTCAGCACTGGGGGGAAGACAGAATGGAGGTGGAAAGGGAAGGATGATCAATTCAGGATGGGAAATATATGCCCCTGGTGTCCTCTTCACCAATCCACCCAGTACTATCTCCCATTGCAGAGGAGTAGTGGGAGGGGAAAGGGAAACCACAGACCACGTATTTGGGTAATTGCTTTCTCAAAATGAAATGGCATCTTCTTTTTATTTCCCTTACTCTCACCTAATAACACCAGTATATTGTATTCCCCACACTGAAATCTGGGTGTATAAATCTTTGCAGGCACAGTGAGGCCTTGTTGGGTTTGGCTGTTGTTTCTGAACAGAGTATAAGGGGACATAAAATGTAAGTGAATCAAGCCCTCAGCTAGCATTTAATTGATAAGAACTAAAGCTAATATTAGATAACAAATAAATGGTCTGTTGCACAGGCATTTAATTAAACACCAAATTAATGCAGTAATGACCTACTGGAACTAACAGCCAGGAATGCTTTACTGCACTCCAGCATCTGGACGCTTTCACCTTCCCGTCCCCCTCCTCCCTCCCCCGCCTCCGTGGACAGATCCATTATAAAGAAATACATTCACTCATATCCTATGTCCTCATGTTTTCGTGTCCCAACTCATCACACATAAGAATCTACTTTGCTCAAGGAAGCTTGACTATTTAGCTGACTCTCTACCTAGTCTTCCCCATTATGTGTCCCAAACCTCAGCATTTGGGACTATTTGAAATCCTAGTCTTGTAACCCTTGGCTGATTACATGCTGCCTTGAAGATTAATTGCAGACTGTGTTTTAGATAATGGTTTCAGGGAAGAGCATGCAAAATCATGAAGGGGAGTTGAAGAATCGATACGTGGCTTTGTCTGGGCCTATCCAGGAGCTTTCAATCATACAATAAAACACATAATAGGTAGAGGAGATTAACTCCACTCAGATTTACTCAATTCACTCCTGTTGTCTTTCCCATGGCTCATCTGGGCTGCACTTATACTTTTGTCTTCATGCTGGCTCTTGTCCACAAGTTAGAGATAAGCACTGGGGGTACTTTTTGAACACCTTTTGCATGCAAAGACCACATACATCCGTATGTATGATGCATTGCTCCTGTGGTCCATAAGACTTTGCAATACCCTGCTGGACAAAGGAACAGAGCCTTTTCAGCATTGCCCTCCAAAGATCTCTGTTTTCCTAGGCACAAGTGCAACTTCCATGGAGAAGTGCTCTCCAGGTACCAGCAGCCTTATATCTATGCTTCATTCCAATGCTGGGCCTAAAAACTGAATGTGGGTGACTTTACTGGAGTAGTGCTACAGAATTCCTGAGCCCTATGTGGCCTAATTTCTCCCCTCTGAGAGCTGAGAAAGCAAATTTGTAGCATCTGGCATGTGTTGTATACTGACCCATGTGAGAGCTCCACCTGCAATCCCTGAGTTGAGGGGTTCTTAGATAGAAAAAGTATTAATGAGTACAAAGAAAATTTTTCTTCAAATCAGCAACTACCCACTTCTCCCATGTGCTCAGAAATCAAACTGACTTTGACAAGCTGAGTTAAACCCCATTGACTCTAGAAGGACAGTTTATAGTGAAAAACCATCTATATTTATATCTAACTATGTCTACATCATTTATATATTCATTCACAGCTTTCATGGTTAATGTTTTTTCCTGCAGTATTCTTTTATCTACTTTACCATATTCTCTTCCTTTTACATCACACTCCCTCTTCCAATTCTACCTTCAGCCAATTCCCATCTCCATTGCCTTTTTGGGATTCTCATTACCTCACCCTTTCTCAGAACTTCCCATGTATCTCCTCATATATCCCATACCATTCCTGCCTCTGGAAGTTAAGAATCTGAAAGTCAGTAGTAACTTCAATGAACCCACTTAAGGTTTTGTTTTCCTTTGCAAGGAAGCTGAAAAAAGTAAACCTCTAATGGTGAAATTTCCTGAAAAATTCAAGGTGAATAGGGAAAATACCTGAGGTCTAGGATGGGAGTTTTCCAGTGTCTTTTAACATCATGCATTTTTGCCCTTTCCATGTAGCATTAATTCTATGTGAGTGAGGGAGACAGATTCAGGGGAATTATATCCTATAACTTTTCATACCAGTGGCTTCAGGGTCATATATGAAGTCTTCTGGGTGACCTAGAAATAATAATAACAGCTAATCTTTATTGAAGATTCACCATGTGTTAGGCTCTTTCTAATTTGGGGGGAAATATTCTCTTTTTTACAAAAATAACATTTTTATATATTTCTTGACATGTACCCAATATCCTGTTTTCTCACTAATGCCTTCATCCTAGGATTCATCTTGCTATTAGATAGCCAAGTAAAAGTGTTTATTATAGGCTTTTTAATTTTCCAAGCCATTCTTCACATCATTTGTTACATGCAATAGTCTTCTCACCTCTGTAAGATAAGTTGGGCATATATTACTTCCCTTTTGAAATAAATGCCTGAAACTCAGAAAAGTTTAAAAATCACACAGAAATTTAGGGCTGGAACTCAAAAAGAAACCCGACTTTCATCAGAAGGTGTATTTTTTTGTTTGTTTGTTTGTTTGTTTGTTGTGTGATAGCACATTGTCCCTTGTTTTGAAGGGCTGCTATGCACACTGTTGAAATAAACTACCTGGGAAAAGGCAATCATGTAATACATCTTAAAAATAAATAAAGAGATATTAAATTGTCTCCTCTAATATTTATTCTTCAGTCATATGTTTTATCCCGGGATGGCAAATTGTTTACAAGCAATTACAGTAATTAAGCATAAATACACCCCAGCGAGGCAAATATTATTATCCACTTTTTAACAGATGGGAAAGCAGAAGTGGAAAGAACCAGAATGACCTGCACAAGGCCAAACAGGGTGTCTGCTACAGACAGGGAGGGCCTGGAACCGTGGACATCCCAGCTTTGTCCTCGGACTTCTATATGATCCATACTCTTTAAAGAAGGTTTGACATTTAAAAAAGGAAGAAGGAAATAAAGGATGAAGGTGGTTGGTGACGATGCCAGGGAGAGAGATGCCAGAGGTAACAGTGCCAAAAGTGGAATGGTTTGAGAGATGCAATGTGACATAGCTAGATGCCTTAGAGGCATCTGAAACAAGGTCCAGGCTCATTCTGGGGCCTCCTCGGTTTAGCAGCAAAGGTCAGAAACAGAATACAAGAGAATCTCCTCTAAGAAATAAAGTGGGTTTTTTTTGTTTTTTTGTTTTTTTTTTCCAGTTCTGCATATTCAGAATGAGCCTGAGCCCATAAAATGAAGATTACTGGAACCACAGAATAAGACAATGTGCTCGTGATGAAGATACAATTGCCCTTTCTGAAGGGCTTTGGAATTTGTGAGTCAAATGCATAGTTGCATTAATATTAGGAAAATTACATCTAGGGGAAAATGCTGAAAGACAAGAAGGCTAACTTCCCATCCTGCATCTTTCTGCCCATTATCACATTTGACAAACAGTTTGAATTCAAGCAGAAAGTGTATGGCCAAATAAAGTAAGACAGGAATGAAACAATGGCATTAAGAGTTAACAAAAACACATTTGAAAGGAAAAGTTGGCAGGCGAAGTTAATGTCACATTTCTAAAATCCAAAAACGGTGAAGCCAAGACAAATACTTGTTTGATTTTTCTGTTGAAACATTTGGGAGATTTTTTTTTTAAATCCTATTTGTCATCACTTATCAATGTAAGATGGATACACCCTACAATAAAACAGGGGCAATTTGAATGCCTCCCTCAGACAGTTTTACAAAGTGGTATGTATAAAACAGAAAAGTATCCAGACATCCATTTCTACAGAGAACCAAATAGTTATTTATGGCACTGGTTAATCCTATGAAATCTTACACAGCCATTATATACCAACCACAAAGGAAAGAGAGAAAAGGAAAAGTGAGAAAGAGAGAGTGTGTACACAAGCAAACAAGAGAGTACAACATTTCATTGTTAAAGTAACTGGCTTCACCCACCTCAGGAAGGCAGCTGACTGTGTGTATCTGTCACCTCTAATTTTCTCAGAAGAGTCAAGAAGATATTAAGAAGGGTATGTACTCTCTTGGAGAATGCTTTATACAAATATATTTTGGCCAACATTTGAACAAGCACAGACTATCACTGCCTATAATGAGATGCCTTAATCAATTCCAATAGATTCTGAAAATTTGTTAAGTAAAAACAAAAAAAAAACCCTAAATGTCAGTTGAAATACACAATTTTGAGTCTTTGATATCGTGACCCTTTCTCAGAACACTAAAAAAGTATGTGCCTGTTGTAGTGGTGCAGGCAACAGTCTTTCTTCTCTGACTCCTACCTTTCATGAGATGTTTCTATGTGTTACCAGAACCATCAGCTGATTTGCGAATAAGAAAAAGAACAAAGAGACAAAGGAGGCAGTTAAGCTGTGTAGCCTATCACCAATTAAAAAACATTCCCACTCAACAATAAATCCTAAGATGTTAAATGGAAATGATCTCAAAGATCAAAATGTGAGTAACTAGGGCAAAGTAGGATAACTAGAGTAACAGAAGTTGAGTGTCAGTCCTTTTATTTCTATTATTTTGTTGACTTGTCACTGTGTCTTCTTAAATTCAGCAGTGTGACTTCAACATAAACCAAGCCACCGGTCTGAATGAAGTAATGAAGTAATGAACAAATGAATGAGCTGCAAGTAGACTTACCTTTGCCCTATTTACACCAGCTAGGCAATTTAGGAAATTTGATGTTTGAATTCTGAAGTTTCCTTGTCCCTGTCTTAGGCTGGTCAGCCATCCCACTCACATGTGACATATCAGTTGGCACCTGGTAGTGTCCAGGCTGAGACATCATGCACCACTAACACAACATTCAGCAAGCAACACCATGAGGCCAAAATATCCCCTTGCATTATTATCACTCAGGAATCTGTGTGTGGTCTGGCTTTGATTTCCACTTTGTATTCTACCCACCAAATCACTTGTAGGTAAGAGGGTTCATTCACCATCCAAAACATCGGACACTGATCTGGATAGCCCAGTTTCCCTCACCTTGGAATACCAGTAGTTGATGAGTAATGGTGTTGCTGCCTTCCAACTCACTGGAGAAGAACAGGCCCCTCTGGAAGCAATTACTAATCCTGGTGGTCAGTAGGTGAGCTATAGCTCCTGTTCTCAGGCCTGTATTTCAACAATGTGACTAAATATACTTCTTCTGTAAAGCTGATCATCTACTGCATGCTTAAAAGAGAACAGACTAGTAAAAGGAATATTTAATGACCTCTCCAGCTGATTAATCTTCAAATTTTCAATGACATTTGAGCAAAGTCACATTGGTACTCTGTAAATTTTCCCCAGTTCAGATTCTAGTTCATGGGTCAGTGAAGGAGCTTTACTGGGTCTCAAATCTCTCTAGTACTTTCCTGCTTTTCCAAATGCTTTATGATCATTAGTATCATACAGTGATACCACATACTTTCTGGACAACAAATGAAAGGAAATAACTATAGCAAGTGGCTAAACCATTTCTCTCAGTCTCCCACTTTGACATCCAGAGGATTGAGGTGGCTCAGGACAGGTGCCACTGGCTAGATAATTATGAAGCTTTAATTGATTTATTTTCAAACCAGCTGCCACATCTTTTTTTACTGATCAATACCTTAAATTTCCTTTATGTTCCTCCTGCTCTCAATAGCAATAATAAGGCTTTAGGGAAATAAAATTTAAATTTTAAGTAGTAAAACAATAGGATTAGTTTGCTTGTTTATTTGTTTTACTAATGGTATATGATCTAAAAGTCTCTCTCTTTTTTTTTTTTTTGGTCTTTTCCTTGTCTTATGACCCATTATCATTCCATTTTTAAAATATGAATGTCAACACACTTAAGAGTTTAGTTTCTGTTATAATTTTAGCAGTTCTCCATTCTCAGTTGTGATGGAGAAAACATCAAGATGATCTTCAGTAATTAGTCAATCCAATGGATGATTTGATAATGTTACCATGTTTTCTCTCATAGTAATAATTCTCTCTAGGACATATAATACTCGTCACAAGCTCTGACAGTCTAGGTGGATGGACTTTGTACCCAAGTGGATTCATGACTAATGGTGTTATGGCCATTTACTTCAATTGAGAAAATGAGCCAAAAATATTCACCATAGAGAGTGGTCTTACTAAAATATGAGTCTAATCCTTACACACTCCACTGTGGGTTATATTTGAAATGCTGTATATGGGGCATCAGACTCTTCTGATCTGGCTCCTGCCTTCCACTGTAGCCCCACAGCTCAAGATTTCTCAGTAGCACCTTTGTGTGATAACACCACTGAACTACACATAATCCACTGCTCCTCCAATATCCCCAAACATTCCCTAGTGCACTCATACATACCATGCTACTTGTCACATCTCTGCCATGTTGAACTGTCCCTTCAGTTTGGAATGTTTCAGTCTAGCTTAGATAAAATTCTCATTATTTGTCACATTATTAAATGGCAAACATAAAGTCCTAAATGGATAATGTGTAACAATGACTGCAACTGGAAGGAATAGAAAGGAATTTGGGCATTACATTGTGGAGGAATGCCATCATCACAGATGAGATAGCGTTCCCTGGTAGCCTTTTGAGAAGAGGATGTGGATGGGAAAGGTCGTATGTGTTGGAAAATGATGATGGTAAGTTTGGAAAGCAGAAACGTGGTTGCTCCTGTTTATTTCATGCAATGAATCCTCATGTTTTCATATAAAATAAGGCATTACACTCTGAAGATGATTTGTGATTCCACTTTAGTCCAGCTTCGACCTTAAAGTTCACTTTCCCACCAGTGTGGGATTGCTTAGGCATGTACCAACTGCATGTTCATTAGCCAGTGACTCTGCTGCATCTGACCATCTACAGGGGTTAAGTTCATTATCACCAAGCAATATGAAGGGCTTAGCAGTCACAGCATAACAATTCATGGAGGAGGAAGTGTCAACAACCTCTGTCCTTTGTATTTTTTTTTTTTTTTCTTTTCTGCTTCGGAGTTAGCTTACTTTGCCATTCGTTTCCCAGAATTAATGTACTTTCAAAATGTAGACTGCCATCAGCCACATATTTTAAGCCCACTTCTTTTCTTGTTGGCCACACTATTTCATTCCTCAGCTTTCCAAACTTCTGGAATAAGATGAAGCAAATATACATCAGAAACACAAACTCTCACCTATGTCTGCATGGAGGAAAAAGAAAGGCAGGTGATGATTTTTTTTTTCCTGTTTATGAAAATTTAACTTAGAATCAGGAACCCTCTATTATCTAAATATAATTCAAATATAATCTAAATTTAAATAAATAAAACACACTGTGCTTTTCTGCAAATATTGACATCTAATAATCTTTAGCCACATTAAAAATATGGACTGAATACAAAACCAGTCAAAGTCAGTAGATATGCTACGGTGTCCATGACCTAAATTGTAGCTTAAATTTATGACTTTATATGATTAGACAAAGAATAGGAAACTAACATCTGTAAGATTATATACTATTACTTAGTATCCAAAATAGAAATGGTCTTAGTTTTTAACATTATTTTTGCTCTGAGATCCTTTATAATATTATGTCATATTTCAAAACATTACACTGAAAATTATTTTCTTAAAGTTTATAATTGTTGGGCACAGGAATATAACTCTTAGAATATTCTTTCCACTATCCCACTTTCCATTTTACAGGAGTACATCGCAGCTTTGCTCCTTAAGATTCCTTTTCAGTACACACTAGAAAGACGTTCTTGAACTTGTCCACAGCTATTTCTAATTTGTCTGATCTTCATCAGTCAGTTTAAAGGAGCATAAAATGTCATCTGCCTCATCCGTCACTGTGTGTGTGTGTTAATGTATTTATCTGATTCACTTCCCCTGAGTCGTTTAAGCTTGATGCAGTTCTGAATCTTTCCCATCTCCTAATTTATTTTAGTCACTCCTCGGGTGTACTGGAGCTGAATTTCTCAGGTAGACTCATCTGAAAAGATGCCATGCTCTAGCAATTCTATAAGCAATTATCATCCTAATGGCTTGCAAATCTTGCTTTGTATTTTCACTGTTGGTCTAGTGCCAGACAGAGGTCCGTTTCTCCCTAAACCCTTGACTTAGTATTTTCAGAAGCCTTCCCAATGGAGAAGCAGTTGATTGACTTTTTTGGGATTACTGGAGATAGTTAATAATGCTATATTATTACGTGAGGCTTGTGTGGACACTAACTTTAACATTCAATGGTAGTATGGAGGCAATTGCTACTACCAAAAATTCAAATCAACCTACTGCTGCAGCTGACATAGTATAGTGGAGTGGTCAAGGCTACTGTGTTTTCAGATAAAGTTAATGTGGCTCAATATAGCATCAAGAGAACTTTCTTCATCACCACCACCATCAACATCCATTATCAACATAATTACTTCATCAGAATCTAACATTAACTGTAGGGTTATTACACTCAGAGTCATGTGCTAGGCACTAACAGGTGGAGTGGTATAATAAGATAAATATCAGCATGAGGTAGCAGATGCTGTTTCTCAATATAGATCGTGATGCCAGGGCAGGAATGAGACAATAAGAAGAGACACCAAGACTCCAGACAGCTGGTGGAACCCTAGCAAGTCCTGAAAGGACAGGAGTGGGCATGCATAGAGAAGGTGGGAGAATGGCCTGGGCAATAGTGCAGCAGTCATTCTATGTTAGGAATAATCTATACACCAAACCAGCTGACACAGAGAGCTCATGGAGGAGACATTAAAATTAAGACTGTATCAATGCAAACACAGGTGATGGAAGGTTTTGAATTAAACTTTCACTTTAGGCTAGAAGAAAATAAGAGCCACAAGCACTTAAAACAGGACCCTCATCCTGAGCTTATTATATTTCCCTGGTATGAATGCCTTCCTATAAGGTACCTCATTCGGTCTTCTATTTATTCATTCAGCAAAGGGCTCTTGAGTGCCTACTGTGTGCCAGGGACTTTTCTAGGTGTCAGATACACAGCAGGAAATGAAAGGAAAAAGTTCTCTCTCATTATGGAGAGTATTAGTTTGCTAGGGCCTCTGTAACAAAATATCACAGGCCACGTAGCTTAAACAACAGAAATGCATGTTGTTATGGTTCTGAAGTCTGTAATTTCGAAACCAAGGTGCTAACAGGATTTGCTCTGAGACTTCTCTCTTTGTCTTGCGGACGGCTACCCTCTTGCCACCTCATCATGTGGTCGTCCCTCCTTGCACAACCACTCCCCTGATGTCTCTCCCTCTTCTTATAAAGACACCAGTCAGATTACAGCCCACCCTAAAAGTCTCATTTTAACTTAATCACCTCTTTAAAGATCTTTTGTCTAAATATATTTACAGTCTGAGTCCTGGGGTTTGCAACTTCAAAATAGGAGTTTTGTGTGGGGGCACAATTCAACTCATAACATGGAGCTAATATTCCACTCATCTCATCTCTCATAAAAATGAACTTCTTGGGGGGCTCCAAAAGAGTTTCCCTGTCACCTCCAACACCCAGGAGTGTGCATAGCCAATGCTGAGGCTGAGCTCTCTGTTACATACACACTTATAACCCCTGCCCCCTTCACTGGCACTATCCAGGCAAAAGAAAGGGAAGAGTGAGGATCTATCTCTTCCATAATATGCCTCTTGTGACTTCTATTCTCCTGCAAGGATTCTCTTGACATTCACCATGTCTCTTGAGAGTGATAAGGACAAAGGATCAACACAGTGAGGTTTGGCTTTAGATCAACATGCCCTAGGAATGGTCCTGATCACAAGGCTCCAATAAGAATATACTAAGAGAAAAAAATGCTTTGAAAAGAAATGTGCTATGTGTAACCTGAATTTCCCAATCTCAGCAGTCTGTGGGTAAAATGAGGTCACATTAATATTAATAATCAAATTTTTCTGGCCTGCAGCCACACCTGTAAAGCTCAGATTCTCATTCTTCATTCTCCTGGCCTACACCCCAAGGTCTTTGATCATCTCTCAGTTATTTCTGGGAGGCCCCAGGGTGAGTCTCACCTCATGTTAGTTCAGGAATAAATGCACATCTGTCCTTTCTCTTGAAGCACGTTATAGAAGTCCACTGGCCAGGATTTGGGGCCAGCACCTCTCTACCACCACAGCTGACAATGTCTTCTGAGAAAGTGATATTTCCCAGCCAGTCTGCCTCAACATTCTCCAGTTCCTGCCAACATCAGCCAGTCTTTCCCTTGAAAATTTGCAGAGAATATCCCTATCTCCAACTGGGCCTGCTTTTCCTCACCTAGACACCCAGGCAACATTGCTGAAATGCTTTCCAGCATTTCAACTCCTGCTCAAGTGGCCCCTGGAAATGGAGAGATGGTGTATTACACTCCTGCCTCCTCCATAATCCCTGAATTCAATCCCACAAGCATACCAACTCATGAAAACACTCAGGTCCAGGAAAGACTGGGAGTGGGGGATTAAGCATAATTTACCCCCTTCCCACAGCCAAACTTCAATTTGGTCTACTAATATTGACAATTCTGCTTTCCATGGGAAAATAAATGTCCTTCATTTGTGAAGATGTGTCAATGATTTTCATATCATGTATTCTATTATTTGGACATTGGTAATTTTCTGCCAAATATTTTCTGCCAGGATAAAGAAAATAATATTTTTTCTAAAATAATTTTCTACAGTCCAAATGAGCTTAACCTACCTCAACCATCAAATATTTATGAGCACCTACTATGTGCAAGGTATTTTGCAAGAGGAGGTCATTGTTATGTGCTGCAGGTAAGACAATCCTCCTTCTTTTTAAAATATATATTTTCTTTTTTGTTTCTAAAGATTCAGTGGTAATTGAGACTGTATTTTTTCATATACACAAGGAATGACTCTCTTCTTTTGCCTCAGTATCATCAGAATCAAAGATAAACGAAGCACCTAAACCCTACATGAGAATTCAACAGGTCACATGTCTTGATGGCAAGATAAAGCAACCTACCTCCAACCTGTATCACCTACACAATGGATCCTTATTGACTGTCATCCAAGTGGGCCAGTTAACTATAAGCCAAGGAACTAACTCCTTGCTTTGCTCTCTTATCTGAACATATTAAGGTAAAACATCTATGTAATCCACATCAAAAAGGGAAGTCTAGTAAAAATTATCAAACCAGTGGGCATCAGATAAATGATTTGACATTCTCTTTTCTACTGTTGCTATGTATGGCACAGGCAAAACATGTTCCACAATGTTCCAGACACATGGAACATTAGGCTCATTTCTATATAAATTTATGTTTAAAGGTTATTTCAAGATATATTGTCTAATCTCTAAAAGTAAATTCCTCCAAAAAAAGTCAACAGTGGTGTAGTAGAAGGTTCAAACAAGTAAATCTAACAGACTCCATGTATGACAAGGAATCATATGTTTCACTAGGGCATTGCTGAGGAAACTATCATGAGTCCTTTAATAATCCATTTAGTAATGACCATTATTTGAAGTCAATGGAAAAATCAATAAACATGATGACTCTTGCAGATACTACTGCTAATAATGATAAGAATTTTCTTTAGTAAAACTTTAGAATTTATAATATGTTCTATATTCTCTACCTCATTGGAATCTTTCATAGTCTGAATAATATATATGTATTATGATATCCAAGAGTTGTGGGGCAAGACTTAGGTTAATGGCTTTACCTAGAGTTACTAGAACAACAGAAACTACAGGCCAGCTTTCCTGGCTTCTGTTGTTTTCTTTCTGCACTTTTGTCACTGTCTCATCACTAAAGTCACACTGTACACCTCACTGCACCCCTAACTTTTCCATCCTTTCTCCCTTTCAGAATTTTATAGTCATACAGACATGAGTAGCTATCATTGAATTATTTGTAACATTTTTTGTCAGTAGCCACCCTTAAACAATAATCTTCTTAATACCATGCAAAGAAAAGTCTATAATAACATCTTCCCCCTAAATTCTCTCTCAAAAAAAGCCTTAAATCTTAATCATTGCAGCATTCTTTATAGCCCTTGATTAAATTTGCCTTCCAAATGAAAGTACGCCCACCTACCATAAACTAGTATAAAGCTGGCTGAAATAACTAAGCCTATTGTTTTCAAGTAGTGGATAAAAGGAAAGGCAGGTGGTAATCCTTAAGAGAAAGAGAACACATATGAGTTGAATCTCCCATTCACTAAGGCCTTCTGAATGAGAGCACTTTCACTACTGTGCTACAGGGACATAAGGCCCAAGCACGGCAGCAATCTTGCTGGGCTGAGGAGACAGATATCAGAGTTCAGGGCTGCTAAAGTAGCTGTGATTTACTGGACAAAATACCAAAGAGGAGATAGCTGAGAAAAGAAGAGGCCCAAAATTCTGCATGGGGGTTCTTTTTTTTTTTTTTTTTTTTTGAGACAGAGTCTTGCTTTGTTGCCCAGGCTAAAGTGAGTTCCATGGCGTCAGCCTAGCTCACAGCAACCTCAAACTCCTGGGCTCAAGCAATACTCCTGCTTCAGCCTCCTGAGTAGCTGGGACTACAGGCATGCGCCACCATGCCCGGCTAATTTTTTCTATATATTTTTAGTTGGCCAATTAATTCCTTTGTATTTTTAGTGGAGCCGAGGTCTCGCTCTTGTTCAGGCTGGTTTCAAACTCTTGACCTTGAGTGATCCGCCCGCCTCGGCCTCCCGGAGTGCTAGGATTACAGGCGTGAGCCACAGTGCCTGGCCTGCATGGGGGTCCTTCACAGGTCCTTGACTGAAGCTGGGCTATGCATGTGTAGGGTCAACACTCTGTGAAGTCTTCACTATAGCAGAGATCACCTGCTGTGGGACAGAGAACTAGATGAAGATGTCACATGTCACACAGAGTTGGGGGATGTTGAATTTCCAGTAGAGCCCAAAGTGAAGAGACCCAATAGCTGAGTACCTTAGCCATTCAGTTATGGCCTGAGAGAGACCATACCTTAGGAGTAAGGAATATGCTCCAAGATAAGAAAGAGCAACACCATAGGATTAAGGACAAAACCAATAAGAGACTGGGCTTAGCAAAGAATAAAGTCAAACCTGACAGAATCTAAAGCATCTACTATTAATAGTAATTGAATTGCCTTCCTGAAAGTTAACTCTCTTTAGAGATAGACAATAAAATCCAGATTCACAAGAACTTATCATTTTTACTATCTATGATACAATCAAAATATTACTAGACATGCAAAGAAGTAGAAAAAGGAAACGTATGATCAAGTAAAAAAAATAGTAGAAACAAATCCTTAGATAACCAACATGATAGAATTGCTAGACAAGGACTTTAAGAGGCAGCTATTATAAACATGCTCAAAGAATTATAAGAAAAGATGGTCATCTTGAGTGATTATGTGGAGAACCAGAAATAAAACAAATGGAGATTCTGGAACTGACAAATACAAATTGTGAAATGATAAAGTCACTGAATGTATTTAACAGTGTATTGCAGAAGAAAGAGTTGGAAAACTTGAAGGTAAATCAATGCAAATCATCAAACATAAAAATCACAGACGAAAATACTTTTAATAAATGAATAGAGTCTCAGAGATCTGAATCAGTATCAAGAGATCTAACTCACATGTAGCTGAAGTTACTGAAGAAAGAGAAACAGAATGAGTAATTTTTGAAGAAATAAAGGGAAAATTGGTAAAAAAAAAAGAAAAAATTGAATCACAGATCTAAGAACCTATGTGAATCACAAGCAGGATAAACATAAAAAGAACCACACCTAGGCACATCAAAATCAAACCACTGGAAACTGAAAATAATCATAAAAGCAGCCAGTGGAAAAAAAGACACATTACGTACAGAAGAACAGCAACACAAAATGATAACCAGCTTATTACCAGAAACAATGAAACCCAGAAGACAAAAATGACATATTTCAAGGGCTTTAAAAACAAAACAAAGGAAAGGAATCAATCCAGGATTCTATATCCATTAAAAGTAGGAAAGAAATAAAGACATCCTTCAGATATATATAAAAACTGAAATAATTTGTTGTAAACACATCTGAATGACAAGTAATGCTAAAGAGTTATTCATCCTGAAGGCAAAAGATGACATATGCAAATTCAGATATATAGAAAATCAGTGGAAATGGTAAATATAAAATGTTATTTTTTTTCTTTCCTCAATTTCTTTAAATGACAACTGGTTATTTATAGAAAAAGTAGTAGTATGTTATATTGTGGGATATAATATATGCAGATGTAAAATATTTGACAATAATAACAGCATAGAGTGTGGGGGGTGAATAAATGAAATAATATTGCTGTAAAGTTTCTATATTTTACTTGAAGTGGTATGATATTCATTCTCAGTAGACTCTGACAAGTTAAGGATACATACTGTGAACCCTATCAACCATTTAAAAAATGCAAACAGGTATACCTTAAAAGCTCATAGATACATAAAATAGAAATACTAAAAAAATTATACTGGACTAAAAGAAGCCAAGAAAGAAAGAGTAAAAACAACAATGGATTAGACAAGTAGAAATCAAACAGCCAAACCATAGCAAAAATTATATGAAATATAGTGAATTAGACTTTCACACAGAAGGCTACATGCCTTTTAGCAATATCTCAAAGACAATTTAATGGAGTCTTTTCAACACGCAGTACTGAAACAATTTGGTGTTCATGTGCACCCAAAAAAGAATGTAGTACCATATAAAAATCAGTTAAAAAGGAATTGTGGACCTAAAGGTAAAATCTAAAGATATAAAATTATAAAGCTTCTACAAGAAAACATGGAAGAAAATCTTTGTGAACTTAGTTTATACAAAAATTTCTTTGCTTACACCATCAAATGCATTATTCATAAAATAAAAGAAACATTAATTTGACTTCATCAAAATTTTAAAACTGTTCTTCTTTGAGAGACACTATTTAAAAAATTAAAAGACAAGTTGGGAGAAAATATTTCCACAAATGGGAGAAAATATTTGCACATCACTTATCTGGTAAAGGATTTGAATTCAGAATTTATAAAGAACTTACAAAATTCAATAATAAGAAATACAACAACACAATAAAAAGGGGGCAAATGATTTCAACAAATATTTCACCAAATAAGATATGTGGAGGGCAAAAAAATAAAAATCACATGAAAAGATGGTCAGCATCATTAGTCATTATGAAACACAAATTCAAACAATGAGACATTACTACATCCATATTACATTTAGAAATATTTTCCACAGCAAGTGTTGAGAATGTGGAGCAACTGTGAATTACTTATACTTCAGATGGAAATGTAAAATGATACAATCACTTTGGTAATTTCATCAAAAAATGTACACGCACTATATGACCCTATCATTCCACCCGTAGGTATTTACCATAAGAAAAAAGAAAAACAGATGTCCATATAAAGACTTGTACACAAATGTTTATAGTAGTTTTTTGTGTAATAATCCTAAACTTGTAATGACGCAAATGCTCATCAACAGGCAAATAGATAAACAAATTCCATGCAATAGGGTACGGGCATACCGAGTTTTATTTTGCTTCCCTTTATTGAGCTTTGCAGACTTGTTTTTTTACAAATTGAGGATTTGTGGCAACCTTGTGCCCAGCAACTCTAGTGGCACAATTTTTTCCAACAGCATGTGCTCACTTTGTGTCTCTATGTCACATTTTCATATTCCTACAATATTTCAAGCTTTTTTGATATATATATATATATATATTAAGATTTTGACTACTAGATCACCAGGGAACTATTATATCTCTTACAGTGATCTGTGATCAGTGATCTTTGATGTTACTACCGTTATTGTTTTGGGACACCAAAAATCATGCCCATATAGGACATCAAACTTAATTTATAAATGTTGTATGTATTCTGACTGCTCCACTGACTGGCTATTCCCTGTCTCTGTCTGTCTCCTGGGGTCTCCCTATTCGCTGATATACAACAATATTGAAATTAGGCCAATTAATAACCCTACCATGGCCTCTAAATGTTCAAATGAAAGAAAGAGTTGCACATCTCTCACTTTAAATAAAAAACTAGAAATGATTAAGCTTAGTGAGGAAGGCATATCGAAAGCCAAGATACGCCGAAAGCTAGGCCTCTTATGCTGAACAGCCACATAGTAAACACAAAGGGAAGTTGTTGAAGTAAATTAAAAATGCTACTCCAGTGAACACATGAACATTAAGAAAGTGAAATAGCCTTATTGTTGATGTGGAGAAAATTTTAGCAGTCTGGATAGAAGATCAAACCAGCCACAACATTCCCTTAAGCCAAAGCTTAATCCAAAGCAAGACCTTAACTTTCTTCAATTCTATGAAGACTGAGAGGTGAAAAAGCTGCAGAAGAAAAGTTGGAAACTAGCACAGGTTGGTCCACGAGGTTTAGGGAGAGAGGCTGTCTTGATAATATAAAATGGCAAGGTAAAGTAGCAAGTGCTAATATAGAGAAGCTGCCGGAAGTTCTTCAGAAGATCTAGCTAAGATATTCGAGGAAGGTGGCTACACTAAACAGATTTTCAGTGTAGATGAAATACCCTTATACTGGAAGAAGATGCCATCTAGCACTTTCATAGCTAGAGAGAAGTCAATCCTGACTTCAAAGCTTCAAAGTACAGGCTAACTCTCTTTTCAGGGAGTAATGCAGCTGGTGTCTTTAAGTTGAAGCCAATTCTCATTTACCATTCTGAAAACCCTAGAGCCCTTATGAATGCTAAATTTACTTTGTGCTCTAGAAATGGAACAACAAAGCCTGGATGAGAGCACATCTGAAAATTACTGCTCAGAAAAAAAAAAAAAAAAAGATTATTTTCAAAATATCACTGCTCACTCACAATGCACCTGGTCACCCAAGAGTTCTGATGGAGATGTACAAGGATGTTTTTGTACAAGGATGTACAAGTAATGTTGTTTTTATGCCTGCTAACACAACATCCATTATGCATCCCATGGATCAATGAGTAATTTAAACTTTTAATTTTTATTATTTAAGAAATATGTTTCATAAGGCTAACACTGCCGTAGATAGTGGTTCCTCAATGGATATGGGCAGAGTAAATTGAAAATCTTCTGGAAAGAATTCACCATTCTAGATGCCATTAAGAACATTTGTGATTTGTGAGGTAAAAATATCAACATTAACTGGGGTTTGGGAGAAATTGATTCTAACCCTCATGGATGATTTTGAGAGGTTCAAGACTTCAGTGGTGGAAACCACTGCAGATGTGGTGGAAATAGCAAGAGAACTAGAATTAAAAGTGGAGCCCGAAGATGTCGCTGAATTGCTACAATTTCATGATAAAACTTGAATAGATAAGGAGTTATTTTTTATGGATGAGCAAAGAAAGTGTTTTTTTTTCCTCTTTTTTTTTTAAATTTCAGAATATTACAGGGCTACAAAGGCTTTGGTCACATAAATTGCCTTTGCACCACCTGAGTCAGAGTGAGCTACAAGCATGTCCATCCCTTAGAAAGTGCACACCATGCCCATTAGGTATGAATTTACCCATTCCCTCCTCCCTCCCACCTGATAAATGTTACTTTCATATGTGCACGTGTTGATCAATTAGCTCCAATTTAATGGTGAGTACATGTGGTGTTTATTTTTCCATTCTTGTGATATTTCACTTAGAATAATGGGCTCCAGCTCCCTCCAGGATAATACAATAGGTAGTTCACCATTTTTTTTATCACTGAGTAGTACTCCATGGTATACATATACCACATTTTATTAATCCACTCATGTATTGATGTGCACTTGGGTTGTTTCCACATCTTTGCAATTGTGAATTGTGCTGCTATAAACATTTGAGTGCAGATGTCTTTTTTTTTGGATTGCTTTTTTTTCCTTTGTTAAATACCCAGTATTGAGATTGCTGGATCAAATGATAGTTCTACTAAAAGTAGTATGGAAAGTGGTTTGTTCAGATGGAATTTTCTCCTGGTGAAGAGGCTGTGAACATTATTGAAATGACAACAAAAGATTTAGACTTTACATAAACTTAGTTGATAAAGCGGCAGCAGGATTTTATTGGATTGACTTTAATTTTGAAAGAAGTTCTGCTGGGGGTAAAAGTATCAAACAGCATTGCATGCTACAGAGAAATCTTTCTGTAAAGATGAAAGGAAGAGCAAACTTTATTATTGTCTTACTTTAAGAAGTTGCCACAGGTACCCCAACCTTTAGTAACCACACCTTGATCAATCAGCAGCCTTCAACATCAAAGCAAGACCCTCAACCAGCAAAAAATTACAACTTGGAGAAGGCTCATGTGATTGTTAGCATTTTTTAGCAAAAAAGTAATATTTAATTAAGATATATATTGTTTTATTAGACATAATGCTACTGCACACTTAATAGACTACAATATAATGTAAATATAAGTTTTATATGCACCAGAAAACAAAAGATTTTTTTGCGATTCATTTCATTGTGATATTCACTTTTTGCGATGGTCTGGAACCCAACCAGTGATATCTCCGAGATATGCCTGTGCTACTCAGCAATAAAAAGGAATGAACTATTAATATTTATGTGCACAACAACATGAATCTCAAAATAATCGTGCAGAGTGAAAGACAGACAAAAAGAGTACATGCTATATAATACATTTATAAAAAAATGCTAGAAAACGCAAACCAATATGTACTGACTAAAAGCAGAATAGTGATCACCTGATAACGGGAGTAATACAGGAAAGGGTGGGAGGGAAAGATTAGAAAAACTTTGGAAGTGATGATTACTTTCCTAATCTTGATTAAAGTGTTGGTTTCATGGGTGTATATATGTATCAAAACTTAATTGTATACTTTAAAGATGTGGAGTGAATATATTGCTTATAAAAGCAAAAATCTAAACAACAGAAGAACATTTCATAATGATGAAAGAGCCAATTCGAATTGCATGAAATGAGTAAAATAATTATCTGCAAGCAGCAAGGCAAGCTGACTGAGTACTGGGGGCTGTGGGAAAGAGTGTGTCTTTTGTTCTCTCTCAAACAGTGACATAGAAAGGCTCTGGTTCTTGTCAACCTCATGGACCCACCATTCCAGTTCTGAACTGCCTTTCTCTTCTTTACTTCCTATTCATAAACTTCTGTCCTATGCGAAAGAGAATCAAGATAAGAAGCCAGGAAAAAAAAGAAAAAAGCACAGCATCGCAACAAAAAAGAAATAAAAGTATGTGGGATTCTTAATAAAGCAATCAACATTACAACTATTAGCATTAATAATTCACAATAATTTGCCCAAATTCTAAACAAGTTGTTTAGACTATGGACTTTTTATTTCTGCTTCTATTTGCAACTTGCTCTTTTGCTTGGATATTTTTTTCTTTATTTGATTTTGTTGGCACTTAAATCAGAAATACAAATATTGAACTTAAAAATAAATTGATACATGGTTGAGCCCATGTGTGATCAGAAAAATCGAAATCATTTTTCTTTTCAGACAAAAGTATTAAAATGAATTGCCATCCTGGCTAAGTGGAGACATTACAGTGACATGAGTAATATTCCAAGTTGCTGCAAAAGGCTGCAGTGTTTGCTGATTACTCTATGGTAAGTGTGTCAGACACAGAGCTTAGGGACAGATTTCATCTTCTAAAATTATTTCCACTCAGGAGGAGAAGCTGGCATCTTGATGATCGTGGAAGAATAAACAAAACAAAATAACTCAGGCAACTGACATAGGCTGGGGACCAGTACAAACAACCAACTTTACTGGCCCCTGTCCATCCAGTCTTCTCTCTTAATTTACTTGTTGATTTATACCATAAATGGATTTATCCTCTTCTTTTCCCCAGCTCACACTTCAGATGTTCAGAGTTAGAATATGTTTCTTAGTTCCTTCTCCTTCAAGAAGGAGACACAGACCCACACAGCCGAGATTTCGGTCACAGAGGGGTCCCTTAATCTGCAGAAACCTCCTCTTCTCTAGCTGTTATGACCATGAAATCTGAATGACTATATAGTCCACTGAGAGGTTGGTTAGAGCTAGAGACAGTAGCAAAGCGTTAACATTATTTCTAGTATGAAAGTGTGTTTATTCAAGCAGTGTATAACCATTTTTCAAATATTTTCTGACAGTTAAGGTGTGCATGTGTGTGTGCATTTATGTGATTTGCATAAACCACACATGAAAATCCATCACATCATTTAATGTTAGTATACACATGTGCTCATATATGGAGAGTGAGTTTAGCAATATAAATATTTTCACCATCCATCATTTCAACAAATACTCATTAAATATTTATTGAGCATCTATGATATATCAGGCCATGAATTAGATATTATGGGAGCCATGAAGATGAATTAGTCATATAGTCTCTTCTAAGCAGCTTATTACCCAGGGCCAGAGATAAACCAAAGATTCAAAATTTTACTTCCAAGTGTAAAGTAATATATGCCACAAGAAGACACATAAAAAGTGCCAAGGGAGCCTTAGAAGGGGAGACTAACTCTGTGAGTGCAGACTATAGAAGAGAGACATTGAGGAATGCTTTATGGACCATTTTTTTTGAAATGGGCCAGAATGTCTGCTCGAATTTTGATAGGGGCAGTGGGTGGAGACAAGATTTCCACAAAAGCATACTGCAAGTGTAGAGCTGCAGGAATAAGAGCAAGAGATGCATTGTCAAACATGTAGATTTGTATAATTTGAGTAGAACATAAATTTGCAAAGGGGATTCCTGTGAGATAAAGCCTGGGATACAAGGGTTTAGAAAAAATATAATGGGCAATGGGGAGCCATTCAAGGAATTTGAGTATGGAGATAAAATGCCTTGATATGTGAGATTCTCCTCTCATTTACTTCTGAACACATCAATACCCAGTAAGGTGACATGCACTTGGCAGATGTACAGTAAAAAATGTTTATTGCTTACATTTATTGAGCATTTACTACATGCCTGACCCTGTTCTAGATACTTTACATGTAGAAGCTCATTTAATCCTTACTGTAACCTTATGAGGTTTTTGACATCATCTCTGTTTTATAGGTAAAGTAACTGAGATGCAGCACAAGTTAAAAACTTAACCAAGGTCACACAGCTTGTAAATAACAGAACACGAACATAGGCCAAAGCCTCAACTAGCTTTCTCTGCAACTTCTCAACAAATAAATATCTATTAAGTAAATAAAGACCTTAAGACCCTGAAGAACAAAACATCAAACTCTTTCATCACATGATTAAATGACCGAAGAAAGAAGACACAACCCACTAGACTAAGTTATAGGCTTAGATGTTGCAGTCTCAAAGACAGTAAAAATGAACTGTTGGTTTGGGTCAGATTTCTGCTAACATCAGAATTGTTTTGTTTTGTCATTGAATCCTACAGGATGTGCAAAGATGGCTCCCAGGTGCTACTGCCAGGCAGCAGCCATCAAGATCTGACCATCCATGATGAAGCAGCTGCAGCGTGTGGCATCCTTCTCTGGGGGCTGTGTGGCTATGAGAAAGACACGGAAGAATCTGCAAATGGCCCTTGTGTAGGAAGGAAAGTAAAGCAGAACCCCTGGGGGTTCTCAGGATGTGAGATATTGCCTCCTGTCCTGCATGCGGAACCACAATGCTTTCTTACACTGGGATAATAAAATTATTCTGCCAGTGGCTGAGGAGTAGGAAGAGGAGTGGGCTATACAGTGAATTGAGTTTGGTCTACACAAGTTAGGGAAAGAAAAAGCAATTATCTGATCTTTATAATTATAAAGACAGCTTAGTTAAGTTCCAAAAGTCATCTTTGTCTTTGAGGTTAATTTTTCTCTTCCCAAATGATATAAATTTCTTAAATCTTTCTAGGAAGACAAGGCCTTAGGGTTTCTGAAAAGGGCATCAATCCAGTCATGTCTGGACGTACTTACTGAGTGCTTATTACGAACTCTTCAGGGCCATCGTGTGGGGAATGAGAAGACCATAAGGCAGTGTGTTGAAGGGGAGAGAGCAAGAACTTTGACACCCAGATCAAACCCAACTCCAGCAGGTAGTGGCTGAGGGGCCATGGTCAAGGCATCCCAGGGCTCTGAGCCATTTTTTCCATCTTTAACTTAGAGATAATAGCATCTATATGATAGAATGGCAGAAGGGTGGTGAAATAAAAGGGTTTTGTAGAAACTAATTAGTCAATGAATTTGTGTGTGTGTGTGTGTGTGTGTGTGTGTGTGTTTCTATGCATCAGTCAAAAGGTACTTCAAGTTAAACTATTGCTGAAAATTTGTTTCTTTCACATTTTATTAGATTACAAAGCCAGGTTATCAGAATTTAGTATAATTCCAGATATACCTATTTGTAACAGATTCATCAATGGAATGGATGATCCTTTCTCAACATTTAACACAGTGAGAGAGATGAAATCAACCAAACCTTTCCCAACTCTTGCTTCCTCTATTTATAGGTCCATAGGAGAAAGAGAGAAAAATCTAAAAACATGAGAGTAAGCAGAACAGAGTACTTAGGGAAGTATTAACACAGAGTTTTTAAATTCATTTAGATGAGATTATACTCTATGATGGCATTGTCAGTGATGCCACAGTTCTAGTTACATGTTCCTTTAACAAGTGTTTATGTATTAGTTTCCTGTTGCTGCTGTAACAAAGCACCACAAATGTAGTGGCTTAAACATTACAAATTTAGTTTTACACAGTTATGGAGGTTGGAATTCTCACTGAGCTAAAATCAAGGTGTAGGCAATGGTATATTCCTTCTAGAAGCTCTAAGAGAGAATTTTTTCCTTGCTTTTTTCAGCTTAGAGAGGCTGCCCACCTTCCTTGGCTGGTGGCCACCTTCTGTCTTCAAAGCCAGCAATTACATCATCAAGCTGACCTCTGCTATAGCCACCAAATATTTTTCTTAGACTCTTCTGCTTCCTTCCTTCCCTCCTTCCTTACATTATAAAGAACCTTGAGATTGCAATGTGTCCACTTAGATAATCCAGGGTAATTATATCTCAAGATTCTTAATCCCATCTGCAAAGTACAAAGTCTATTTTGCCATGGGAAGGTCAACATACCCACAGATTGAAGGGATTAATTAGTTTTCCCTACTACCATTTAACAAATATCTATTAAATAAACAGAAAAATGGACACCTTTGAAGGCTACTATTCTCTCCCCCATATTTTTGTGTTGTTTTGTTTTGTTTTCTAGCCCCTGTAACCCTCCACCCCAGGCCAGCATTGTCACTAGAACAGAGAGATATCACAGTCTTTAAAATAACTCTAACCATGGGCAAAATTGCTCACCAAGCGGGGGAAGTACCCTTAAGATGCTCAAAAGTGGAATAGAATTGATTCAGGCATAGATATTTGCAGAGCTTTCTCCCTCTGTACATCACCTGGGCAACTCTTCACACCGGCTTCTTCCTAAAACCAGCCCCGATTCAGGTAAACACATTACACATTCTGAATTGTTCAGTTTGAGAATGTAACCATCCCACAGGACAGAGATAACAGTGACCTGCTGTCCTTCCAGAAAATTGGCCTTGTGTTCAACACTTGGACGTATTGCATATGGGTTGCTTAATAAACCAGAATGCTTATGTTTCCTTCAGCCATATTCCTATAACAGCAGCCAAAGAAAAATGGTGCCGAAGAAAAGGCTTTTATTATCTTTTATTTTACCCTCTAAAATCTAATTCAGAGCATGAGGAGAAATGCACGCACAGAGCCAAATTTCATGTTCATTAATGTAATTGGACATTAGTGCCATAGCCACGTCCTCCCACTCAGCAGCGAAAATGACCCTCTTCCTGTATTATCATCAATAACAGCACAGTGATGGCCGGGCTGGGACTGACCAGACTGTAACTGAGCTCTCAGTCCCTTGGGCAATGGGGTGATTTTTATTTACAGTGACAAGATGATCTTTACACTTGTTTCTCTTTGGACTGTACACACACAGCTCTATCCATAAGCGAAAATACAGCCAGGCCGGCTCTTTCTGCTCTGCACTTTACTTAACTGACGAGGTGTCAGCATTAATTTCTTGACTGTCGGAAAGTTTCATCTCTCTTGCCCTAGGGATGTTTTCTTGACCTCTCCAGTACTGTGATTGGAAGCGGTTTGGTCTTTTCTCATAAGCTCCAAACATTTTCTTTCTTTTCCATTGCAATTATTATCTCCTGTGACATTTACAAGGACCGGTTCTGCTGTAGCTAGAGTTATAAACATACAAGGAGCCTCGCTCGGCAAACCAGAATTCTTTTCTACTTGAACATGCTGGTTAATAACTTTAGGGGCTTTCAGTATGAATTTGTGATGTGAGCCCTCCAAATAAATGCCTGGCTTCAAAAGCAGCCTTTGTCGGTAGGACTCTTCAAGAATGTGTTTCAAAACATTATAGGCAAACATAATTATGTAAATAAAACATTTAATTGTTCAACACTACACCATTATTATTATTATTTTATTTTAAATGACTAAGGTTCACACAATGGCTAGAAACAGATTTGCACTGTGGCTGGTTTTCAAACTCAGGACAATGGTGAAAACAGCACTAGGCTAGAAGTGGGCTGAACTAAGGGATAGTACCATCTTTGGCAACTCACTTCCTTAAAATTCCATTTTCCTAATTTGCAAAAAAAAAAAAACACACAATAAAGAAGAAGAAGAAGAAAGAAAAAAAGAAAAAGTTATTAGCCTAGCTCACTGCTAAGTTCTTTCCCAGTTCTAATATTCTGTATATAAATAAATAACCACGTTGCACCTTTCAACCGTTATTAATATTGTCTATGGGAGTGTTGCTTCCCTGCAACAGATGAAGAATTAAGCAACAGACTACTCCTTCTGTGTTTAGTACCGCAGACCTCAGTGCTCACATATTTTCACTACCTCACTGTAGACAAGAAGAACAAGCTGGAACCAGCAGGTGCTTGCCCTTATCCATGGAGAGATTCGTTCTGGGACCCAGAGGTTTTGAAGGGAAGTAATGAGAGAGCGCCCAGTTGGTCTCTGTTTACTGAGGTGCGTTCTCCAAGGTGCAATGATTTTAGTTAACTGTTAGATGACTTTAATATTCTAAAGATATTTTTATTTCACAAGTTTTATATTTAGAGAGTGAAACTTTGCTTTCAAGCAAGAAAAACACTATTTATCAAGGACAATATAGCTACTCGTTCTTAAAATACTCACTGACTTTTCCTGGCACTGCTTTTTTTTCTCTTAGTTTCTCTCGAAGTTAAAACAGAAATGTGCCTTTATCTTCTGAAGAGAGTTGGCAGTCACGAGAGTTGCTCTGGTCCTTGGCCACTTCTTCTGAGTGTTAATACTGTGCCTCCCATTCCTCAGGCACTATATGTTCTGTCCCTTGTGCAAGGCCCCATGAGTTCCTGGTTTGTCTCTGCTCAGACCCCAGCCTCCCAGAGCTCTATGCTCCCATCAACAGCAGGAGGACATGCACCATGTAACTTATCTATTTTTTAAATCCTTCATTTTTAAGACGTCTTATTCTGTATCAAATTATGAGTTCTTTGAGAACAGAAAACATGCTATTTTCTTTCTACTTCAGAAATAGTAAGTGGTCAATGAACATTTAATGGATGCTCCATAACTTCTGTTATATGGGAGATATAATCATAGATAAATATTGTTTTAAGAGTGGGATCTCAGAACCAGCAATATCAGCAACATCTAGGACCTTGTTAGAAACAAATTCTCAGGCCCCATTTCAGATTTATTAAATCAGAGATTCCAGGTGTGTGACGAGCTCTCTGTGTTTTAGTGATCCTTCCAGGTAATTCTAATGCTTGCCAGTGTTTGAGGATCACAGTCACAGACCAGTCACCAAATCTTAGAAGTTATAGGTGGTCTATCTCCACTAAACTAAACATGACAAATACCTTGTTACTTATAATAGAAATATGCAATGAATTAATTTGGGGTTGCATTAATTCATTCATTCATCATGGTAGTAGAGGTTTATTCATAAGTATACAATGTTTGCCAGCCAGGCCTTCACCTAAAGTACAGTGTATACAGCAGGCATCAGTAAAGGTTTTCAAAAAAATTCATTGATTTTTATATATGAAAAACATGACTAACATTATCATCTTACTAGAAGTTAATCTTTAGTCACTTCTGCCAAATGTAGCTAAAGCCGCCAGGATCTGAGGCTATTCTGCAGGTCACTGTGTCGACACTGGGGGCCAGCTGATTGAGCTGGATGAATGGATGCTCCCTCTTCTTTTAATCCTGGGTCTCCTCCAAACTGAGCATCCTGGAAAGAAAACATTATGTGTGCTCACCTATGAAAAATCCTAATATATGATTAAGATACACTGTAAGAGAATATTGAATTCTCTGGATTCATCCTAACGAGCAGCTGCATGTAGCCTTTATTGCTTTATTTTATTTATTTATTTTTGTCTTTATTGTTTTCAAGTACAGATGATCAGGTTTCTGCCAGTGAATTTTTACTTATGTACTACTTGGGCCAGTGACCCTGAATAATGAATATAGTTACAAACGAAAAAGGGCCCTGAGAATGTATGGGTTTTGGATTTGTGTGTGTGTTTGTGCATGGACAAACATTATTAAGGGAGAGA